CTCTCTCTCTCTCTCTCTCTCTCTCTCTCTCTCTCTCTCTCTCTCTCAGTGTGTGTGTATGTGTGTGTGTGTGTGTGTGTGTGTGTGTGTATCCATGCACACATGTGTGTGCTTGTATGTGCTTTATATATGGTACCCATACACTTTACCTCCGAGCTACATTCCCAACCTCTACAATATTTTTACCCATACCATTTTGGTGACCACACAAATTACCCATCCAGCTTTGGTGCAGAATGCCTAGAGTTCTATACTGGAGACACTTCTATGCCTAGGCTCTAGGAAGGCACATCAAACTTGAGGGACTTTGGGGCTAGGGTGTGGTTGTGTTTCATATTTTTTCCTCTGTGGAGCACTTGTAGGAACTAGAGAGCTGCACACTGCCTCATCTTTCCACTGCATCTTGTTCTGAGCACCCACAAAAGATCCGCTTGCTTTAGAGTAGACAGCATGACCAGCTGTGTGCACTCTGCAGAATCTATTTATTCTGGGGCATACTTGATAAATAAATGCTTCCTCGTGAACCAGTTGATGGAATGAGTGGGCACCCGATGTGAAAGTCGGATATTTGAAAATGTGAACAGCAGATAACACAGCAGGAATGCAATCATAAGTGCAGCATCAAGGTGAGGGAATGCATTGGCATATAATGCACAGGGACAGTGTTCTTCCCTGAGGAGCAATGCAGAGGAAACCTACCTCACCATGCCACAGGCACTCGCCACATCCGTATAAAAGTTACTAGTACTTTTAGTTCATGTATTGTTAATTACAAGTTTTCATTGCATTGAGTCACTGGTCTGGTTTGAGGTCTCTGGTTTTTGCTGCATCATCAATACTGAACCCTCACTGGGGCTCCTTTTGGATAACCTGTTGTTCTATGTCATGGAGACCCTATAACTTTGGGTCTGCAGGACAATCCCCTTCCTGTGCTTCCACAGATATAAATGGCTAGGATTATTGGATGGGCCAACTTATAGCCCTGATTCTGGGTCTGGGTGATTGCTTGGTTGGTCAGCCCACCAGCTCTCCTTCACCCTCAACACCAGAGTGAGCTCTCTAGCACTGCCCAGGCTACCTCACCGTATGTAGTAAGCAGCAAGGGGGCAGAGCTGACTACCCTGCCCTCATATAGTTCTTGCCACTGTGCAAGGTATACTAGGTAGGTTCTTGTCACTGCAGGGTATAGTTTATGTCTGGTGTTGGTAATGAGCAAATAAATAAATAAATTATGCCTGGCAGAGGGACATACAGTCAAATCATTGCATGCCCAAGAGTATTAGTGCTGAAGACTGAGTCATGGAGAGGAGATGTTGGGCTTAGGGGAGAAGCAGGGACTTGAATTAAAAACTACACACTGCCCCACCTTCCTACCTCATCTTATTCTGAATGCCCACAAAGTATCTGCTCGCTCTAGATTAGACAGTGTATGGTAGCGTTCACTACCCAGAATGTGTTTATTCTCAGGCAGATTTGTAAAATAAATGCTTCCTCACAAGCCTGCTGATGGAATGAATGGGCATAAGTTTTCAGGCATAAAGATTAAGGGACTCCATATATGAGCCTGGGACCTCATTCCCATCTTCTAGAGGTTCCATTAATAGTGCCAAGATGGAAACCAAACCCTCAACACTCAAAGCTTTGGGGAGCACTTATCCAAACCAAAGCTTTCAAGACACCAACCTGTACTGCTCACTTCTTTGGTCAGCCTGTGACAAACCATGCATGGCAAGACTGGGATACTCAGCAGTCAGTCTTAGTAAGAAACAAATACAGGATACATTTCAACAGGATCAGTGTCGCCTGAGTTAAGAGCCAGGTTGTCTGCACACCATCTTACCCACAAAGCACTCTCTATGCCCTCAGGAACAGCTAAGATCTGGGACTTTGGCAGTGGGCAGGAGATGAAAATGCTGCCGGAAGGGAAAGACTGGGCAGAGGAGGAACATGGGCTGCTGCGCCTGTTTTTCCTCAAGGCCCAGGTGAAGAACCAGCACCTCGTCCTCGCCTTGGAGCGCAACGGGACTATCAAGATGATCCAGGTTTGAATCCCGCTTCCATGCTTGTTCTGCAGACAGTCTTCTTGGGAGAAAGCCAATGGTGATCATTTCTCTACCTCTCTGTATGTGCCTCTCTTTCTCTATCTCTGTCTCTACATCTCTCTGCCTCTCCCCCTCCCTCCCTCCCTCTCTCTCTCTCTCTCTCTCTCTCTCTCTCTCTCTCTCTTTCATTATGGTTTCATGTAGCCCTGCCTGACATTAAACTCTTGATTCTTCTGCCTCCATTTCCCTAGTGCAGACACCACCACACCCATCATGCCCACTTGCTCAGTCTATGTGATCCTGGGAATTGAGTCTATGATTTTAAGCATATTAGTCAAGTAATCTACAAACTGAGCTACATATCCAGCCCCATTCAACTCCTCTCTCTCCAGTCAGTTGAGGGTAATGCTTATGCATCAGCTTTCCTGTGATACTAGTAACCAACTTTGCTCAAGTCCAAGCAAATTGCAAAAACACAGCTCCCCAGGCCCAGCATCCCACCCGTCACATTCATGCTTCAGCATCATATGGGATCCCCTAAAATGAGTGTCAGAAAGTTTGAGCTGACACACATCTCTCTACCACTGCTAACATTGCTCACACCCTATCTCGGCAATAATTCTCGACTCCTCGAGAAGGCTCCCCAGCAGATTCTGTCCCTTATGGCCCATCAGGCATTCAAAGATGCTCAAGTCACTTTTTCCATTCCTTACCAAAATGACTTACAAAGTCATTATTTTAAGGTTAATGGTGCAATCTGCTCAGGGCTGTTTGGGGAGGTTTGAGATAGGATAATTTATTTTTCTGCGAGTCTGTTACTGCCTAGGAATACTAATGCCTTCTTCAAATTTAAAAAGAAGCCAACATCATTTATCTTGGCTGTGTGGCCCTCACCCAGTCAACAAGACCTCGAGGACTAACATTGCCTTTGTTGTTCTCCTCTGAAAGCTACGATCAGAAAATAAGTCTCAAAGAGGATTTCAGTGATGAAGTACAAACATTGACTGGGATGGCTAATCCTTTTAGCTGAGAGTAAGGAGGGGACAGCTTCCACAGTTGGAGGTTTCTTCCCCTATTGTCTGCGTAGCCCAAAATGTGACTGGAGGAAGAATACCTTGGCATCCATGTAAAACACAATGTCACTTGCCTTCTGGAAGTTGCTGTAATCGAGCTATGCTCACTGTACTTGAAAGGCTGCAAAATGAGTCATGATTCTGTACCTGGGATGCCGCTGGGCTGGTAGAGTACTCGCCTTAAGCATGCACGAAGCCCTAGGTTTGATATCTAGCACCACAGAAGCTGGGCATGGTGGCACACACATGCAGTTCTTGCATTTGGGAAGTGGAAGCAGAAGTTCAAGATCATCCTTGGCTGCACAGTGAGTTCCAGATCAGACAGGGATACATGAGACCATCACATATCGAAAATGTTTTGGTTTCTGCCCTAGACACTTACACATTGGTTATTCTGGTCTTCTGTGCAGGACATTAAACTAAGCTTGGAGAGAGAGAGAGAGAGAGAGAGAGAGAGAGAGAGAGAGAGAGAGAG